GATCATTCTTCACTTTCATCTACAACCGCAGTTCATATATGAATTATTTCATATAAACTTCACATCAAAAGAAACACTCTCATTTGTTTTCTGCTGATCTCGTGAGTCGGGTCTACAAGTGCACACAGGATCCTTTCTTGAACAGTGGCTGGTTATCAAACCTATTCTGTTTTAAGTGGTATCTTTTAAGGGTCTAATGAAGCTCGAGCAAAGCCCACATTAGTCTTCTTTAGGAGTTAAATTCAAATTTTCCGATGAGCATCCCTGACCTTCTTATATGGGGGAGTGCCCCCCAGGGTTCCAAATGTCTAACAGGAAGTACAATTCTGTGGAATTTTCTACCGATTGGATGCCGAATGGTGAACAGTGTAAACAGCTTCTCTAAGATGATCAATAATCTTACTTTGGTCAGGGACATTAGCTTTGCAAATATATACTGCAGAAGGTGACTCGACTGCCCATTGGTATACATTTATTAGTCACATAATGTTAACAATTAGGTAATTATTATTAGCTACAAATTTTTATGTAAACTAGATTACATCTTACATTGTAAATTTTTTTTTAAAATTCTTATTTTGTAATTATTCTTTATTGTTTATTTATACACGACCCCACAAGCTGCAAGCTTAATTACTTATCGTGTTTAAATAAAGGGTACTTACTTACTTACTTACTTACTTAAGTGACCCAGTGAAGTAGTGATGGAGTGAAATCGTCCCACCAGTACATCTTGGAAAATATAAATAATTATTATTTTCCGAGCTAAAAAACCAGTTGCTTCTGACTGAATGAGAACAATGAATTTATCCTAAATTTTACTTACTAGCAGTATCCATTAGTTGGTATGGTACTCCTAATGTTTTCATTGTGCATGTCAAAGATTGATATTCCCTGAGGTTTTTGTTTTTTTTAAAAGATTTCCAAAGTTGACTCTAAGGCCTCCGAATAGTTCCAAAGATTGAAAGTGGTATCATTTTCAATGTATATATTCAATACCTCAGGGATTTGGCCATTGTATTCAAAGACTATAGTTTGCATGCATAATTGAATATTCTTCAGGCATAATAAGTATGGAAATTTTTCCCAGCACAGCACAGTACAATTTAGTTCCTGGGTACAATTTTAGTATTATTATGTGTGGCACATGTAGCATTGTGTGCAGTTAAATGACCACTCACATAATGCTCTTTATTTTCAGGAGGCTGACAGTAAAATCTGTAAGGCAGCAATTTCTGGAGTACTTGGGATTGGAGAAACTTAGGGCAGAGCAAAAGGAAGTTTTCAAAAGCATTGTGCATGATATTTATAATTTGTATTCTAATGAAAACCAGGAACAAAATGGAGATCAAGGTAACTACACTTTACTGTTTGGTTAGTTTTAGGTATAGTAGTAAAATTAAGGTATTAAAATAAAGTTTTGTTTTATTCATCTTGACACAACAGTTGTTTATCGTCAAACATGACGAGTGGATAATACTGGATACTGGATTCCAACAAGCCTTTTAACTACCATTCTGGGTTATGGCTGCTCTTGAGCCATATTATTTTGAGCCAAACATGCTCCAAATGTGCATGAATTTCTACTACAATCCAATTTAAGAATTGATGATAAATTGGCCTGCTCTCAGCCAATCACAATGAAGTAATTTTCTCAGTCATGTAATAAAGGTAGAGACAAGTTGACAGTTACTCGAGTTTCACACTTATCACCAGACTGAATAAGGTAATATATATTTTTAGACTGCTGATATCAACAAAGACAAGTTGTCATAAATTTAAGTGCAAAGTATTATTGACACCAGAAGACTTTGTTTACAGGTGTCAAAATTAAGGTTACTTCCCACCTTTTTGGATGACCGTTGGGAAAAAAATTGTAGGGACTCTAGTTTCAGTAACATTCTAACAAAAACAGTGATGGACAAAACACTGACCCCCAGTCCATGGATTACTCCAATGGACTACCCTAAAATGAATTACCCCTGAGTCCAAATGAGTAGTATTTAATGTTCTGTTGTAAGTTGCTAGTATACTTGCATTAAACGCAAATTGTGCTTATGTTCTTCTCAAACTCATTAATAATTCATAAGGTCAACTACCAACCACAAGATGTATACCACATCACGTGCATGTGTTTGGATACCCAATGAAAAACATCATACCACTCTCCAGTGAGAGTGGTATATACCACTAAAATATGCACAATGACAACTAGCACAAAATTAATGAATATTTATTACTCAGAAGTAAGCTTTTACAATGTGTCTCCTTTTGTTTTCAAAGTCACACCCATTCGTGTTGCTTCTTTCATTTCTGCATCCAANTCCTTTCAATTATGGTTAACACAACAAGGTTTTAATTGCCTGCCTGTGTTGTTTTGTCACTTAGGTTCAAGTTCGGAAGATTCTCACATGACAACTGAAACTGACAATGTTTGTGACCTTGTGGTATCATGTTCATCTGCAAGTTCAAGAAAGAAGAAAAGAGACCATGGAATAGCTAATGATGTAGGCTCTCACAGAGGGGAAATGTCCAGTCACAATAATAACATGTCTGACGAGGAAAAACAGAAAGGAAAAACTGTCTCTGAGAAGGAGGTATTACATAAAACGGTTGGAGAAAGAGGACAAAGGAAAAAGAAAATTGCATCAAAAGAAAAGGCCTTACAGGCAGTTGATAAATGGGTAGAGTTAACAGATTCAAAAAGTGACGAGGAACAAAATAGAAGGACAAATAGTAAGTCTGGGAATAAAAGATCATGGAAAATTAATGATGACACAGAGGTGGATGATTGCAAAGGAAATGAGGAAGCACTAGGGAGAAACAATGGGTCCAAGAAAATTACAGCACAGAAAATGGAAGACAATGCAGATTCTAATGATTCTCACAGAGAAGAGGAAGTTCTGAGGAAAACGAATACATCTGAGGAGAAAAGATCACACAAAGTTGATGAATATGAATTGTCTGGTGTTTCTAACAGTGAAGATCAGTTAAATAAAGAACAAGATCAGGGGAATGCATCGCACCATGATAACTCTAATGTGCATAGGAATGAGGATAACACCCAAAAGACAAGACTCACAAAGATGTCAAAGGTACAATAAATTAATGCTAGGTTATCATAAGTACCGCTTTTGACATACGAGTGGCAACTTGACAGTTAGCACACATGATTCCAGATCTTGTGGTCTAGGTTCAAGCCTTGGACAAAGTATTCTTGTGATCTTGGCGTAAACACTTTCCTCTCACAGAACCTCTCCACCTACAGTGCAGGTGTATAAATGTACATGGGTGGTAACAGATTTAATGATGGGGCAGTGAAAATCCTGCAGTTGATCCAGGCCAAGTGGGGTGGGGAGTAGAATTACTCCTAGTAGCATAATGCTACAGAGGCCGGAATAAACTCTTGTAGTGTTGGTCACTCAGCTTGATAGAAATCAACAGTTGAGAGTAGGTTAACGTAAAGTCTAGTCTGTCCACAGACGTTTTTTTTCTTCTGCGAGTTTTTTTTTCCATATCTATTGTCAAGTTTTCTACAATATTACGCATGTTTGCTTCAGAATTTTCACCTAAACATGTAAACTAAAAGTGACAAAATATTTCATGCATCCAAGACCTTTTTTAAATTTATCTTGAGGCTAAAAAAAACTTGGTTCACTCACTGTGTTGTCTTTACTTTGCCTAAATTTCAGGACACCACCTCTAGATCTGCTGACAGGTTAAAAAAATTGCCACCACAAACTGCAGACAGTATTAGACTTAGGAACTTAAAACGTTTTGTGCGTACTTGTGGACTGCATAAGAACTATGTTAAACTTTTTTCTGAGTGTGATACTACGTCCCAAAGGGAGAAAACTTTAGAAAGAGTTCTGCGAAAGGATACAGGTTTTCAAGGTAAGATGTACAATGTATATACATGTATATGTATTAGTATAGGTAATCCTACTGTTTCGAGTTCAATTTGGAATTAATTTGCACAAGTGAGCTTTTTGAAAAACTCACAAGTGCAAATTAATTCCAAATTGAACGAGACAAACCGTATGATGACTAATTAATAATATAAACATGAAAAAATTTGCATGGAGGGAGTGCCGGAAGACCTTTCTTGAAGAAATTTTTTCTCATTCGAGAAAACTTTTTTCAACGTTTCCGCACAGAATTTTCGTCATCATTTTACGTAATATCATTGGCTTTAAAAATTTCCTGTTGTCTTTCAGCCAATCATAATCCAGAATTACGATGTGTGATTTGCACTTGTGTTACACTTTTTGCACCAGTGTTAAACTTTTTGCACTTGTGTTACACTTGAACTGCACTGCTCTCAGCCAATCAGACGTTTTTTTCTGCTGCGAGTTTTTTTTTTTCTTTTTTTGTCCATATCTATTGTCAAGTTTTCTACAATATTACGCATGTTTGCTTCAGGATTTTCACCTAAACATGTAAAATGTTATGCACGACTGGAAAGTTGTCCAGCCCTGCACCCGCATGCCTCTCTTGTAAAGCAGTCGTTGTTAAAGAACAAGGTCACTGTTGTAGCAAAAACGGAGTGACAGCGATATACACAGTGAAATTGAGTTTAATTATCCAGATCAATTGTCTGATAATGAACTCTTAGAACAAGCAAACAGACTTGAGTTGAAACTTCTTCCAGTTGAAAGCAAGAATTCATTGTGGGGCAAAAGCAAGAAAACACTGAAAAAAATTAACGTTTTCTTCAAGTTTCTGGGAGAAGTTGGAGAATCCAAGGAAATCACAAAGTACACGTACCTTGTGTACAGTAATATTCAGTCACTGGTTCTCCTGTTTTCAAGAGAATCTAAGAAGTTGACAAATATGATTGAACTTGAAATGATGCCAACGCTTTATTGAGTCTACAGATGAAGCAGATTTGTGAACGACAATACTGAAAGGCCCGGTGGAAAAAGGGTGTTAGGTATTTTTGGTCAAAAGTGAACTTTGTCGAAGGCAGTCCCAGTTTTGCATGCGGTTTTGTTAAGGCAAAACGTGCTCTAATGTTCGAACAAAGATACAGTCGAGTTATCGGTGTTTGAAGTCAGGTTGATCCAGGCAGCAATTAGTCCAAGAGCAGTTCTTGCCCAAGAAGAAACCCTCTCGTGAGTTGTGACCAATTTGCCTAGTGCTGCTGGCGTCAAAGTTTGGAAAGCGAGAACCGATTGAATAAAATCATGTAGACAGCTTGGCTTGCTGAGCAGAGAAAGAAACAGTCTCACGGTCCACACAGCTGAGAGGACCTTTACAACTATGATACTTCGTAAACTAGATTATTGCGACTTTTTTTTGGAACAATTGAGCGCCTTCGAGATATAATACATTAGTGTGGTTACAAACGAGAGCTGCTAGAATTATCTTAAAGGAAAGTAGCCTTAACCACAAGCATTTGTTATGACTATTAAGTTGTGTAAAGTGGATCACCTTTATTGTTGATGGGAAGTCATAAGAGTTTCAGACTTAGAATGTCTTTGGAGTAGGTTTTAGATAAAGTCATTTCAGTCCGTTCTTGTTTGTTTGTCAACGATATTCCTGTTCAAAAATGTTTTTGTTTTTACCGTTTATTTCTATTAAATACACATGTATTGATATAATTGAACCTTTTGATGTAACCTTTCACTTTCCATTCCTGGGTGTGTAGTTTTAATCAGACTAAATGCTCTATTTCCTTCTAGAGAGGAAATTAGAATTACCACATCATCGCAAACATTAGGCAATTCAGAGGTCAATTTCCCAGCTTGATCCCTGGGGGGTTATTTTCCCTAAAATAGTAAGGCATTGAGAACGAAGAAAACTAAAATCGGACTTGAACCATGCCCTAGTCTTACACCTTTGCAGTTATATACACGTAATTGCAATATTGTCATAGAAAAAAGCGAAAAAGCAAATAGGAATTAATAAGGGAAATTGAAATTTCCATTGCATGTTCTTAGATACTGTACATGAATGAAAAATACATTTTTTTCCATTCATGTCATTCATGTACATTATATTTTTCATTCATGTACAGTATCTGAAAACAATGGAAATTTAATTTGGCTAGTTAATTCCTATTGGGCTTTTTGCTTTTTGCTTATTTCTGTGACAGCGTTATTGCAATTAAGTGTATATGAATGAAGAAAGGTAAAGCTTTTTGGATTCTAACATCACTTATGCATACCCCTTAACCATCACAGCGCACCACTTCATTATGACAAATTTAATTATTATCTTATTATCATAGATTTTTTTTGTTCGAATGGAAAGGCGCATGTGGCAAAGTTTGATAATATTCAGTGTCACTCTCTTTTCAGGGAGAATTACACTCAGTATGTGTAAGAAGTTTAAGCTGGCCAAAGAGGAAGCAGATGAACTGGCTGAGCTGGACTGCAATAACATCATTACAGCAAGTAAGGAAGCATGCCAAAATAATAATAAGAACGTTCCAAGCAAGATTAAGCTAATCCAGGATTAGCGTAAATTTTTATTTCAATTTTGTAACTTTTCAGTAAATTTTTCTCGTCCAATTTTTTGTCCTTCAGTTTTGGCTTTGACCTATGTCAAACTTCAGGAAACATGGACAGTAAAAACAGTTTTATTCAAGAGAAATTAGAACTTTGATTAGCTTTTAATCCTGGATTAGCGTTAATCAGCTTTCGAACAAGCGGGCCCTGAAGTTTATTTAAGGTATTATGATGTGTTATAGCATGTACTTTCAATCTTTTCAATACTTCAGACCATGGTCGGCGTGCAACTAGAAGAACACGCGCAGGATTAGATAACCAGCTCACACCATTGACTGGCCTTAACTCGGATAGCCCCAAACTGTTCAGACGACTTAAAGGAGTGGTCGATAGTGATGGCAGTGATTCTGAGGAAAAACCACGAACTGGAAAACATCCACTGGGCACTTGTCCTAAAAAGCAGTATCCTGAAGAAAACAGCAGAAAAAGACGGAGACTTAACAGTAGTTCAGATGAAGATGGTGACTAGTCCATGTGCAATTATTGCATTACTTTTTACACGGGGACTATTTTATACTTTAAAGGAGAGAAGTAAAGAGCATTGTGTAGGGTACTCTATGCGGTGATGCCCCGGGGGGTGGGGGGTACTTGGGTCAATCTTTGTTGGGTATGTGCCGCTGGCCTCTCAGAACCCCTACCCCATTATAGTCATATTCTATGGCCAATTATAGACCCCATCTTAGTCACTTTTGGGTAAATGTAATTTTCACGACCCCAACCGTATAAATCCTTTTAATTAAGTCTTTCTAAAATGAATTGACGCATTTAATAAACTGAATGAAGAACACTTTACTTTACAACTGCACTATAAACATTCTGGTACATTTGCTGACCATAAACATTTACAAACATACCATCATAAATAGTTGAAATGCAAACATTAAACAACAAATATTAAACAACAGCAATAAATACGGTAACATTTTTTTTCGGCGAATCTTTCCGTTTATAAATCACAACTTGCCAGAATTTTCTTACTCTCAAAATCCCGGAAAAGTGTGACCCCATTCTAGTCACCCTATGAAAAATGCTTGAAGAGGCGCCCCATTTTAGTCAGTCCAGTAGTGAAAATGCGACCCCATCCAGCGGCACATCCCCATTAGCCCATTTATAGAAGTGCCCGCCCCCCTCGGGGGGTGATGTCTGGTTTTAACACCAAGGACCATTGTTAAAACATTTAACAATGAAGCAGAAATTAAAACCCCCAAAGTAACTCAGACTAGTTTTTTTCAGACTAGGCTTACACTAGAGGAAATTGTTCCAGATTCGTGACGAATCCAAAACGATTCAGTACCGGATTGATTTTAGCATTTACACATAAGTGCACGAATCCGAAATAGAAACTGTTATTGTAAACAGATTCCATCCCTAGAGGGTAGTGCTGATTGTTTAGTTCTCAAGATTTTTAATAAAGGCATGTAAGAATGTGTTTTGGGTAGGGGATATCCACATGTAAAAGACATTCAGGCACTTGTCATTAAAATTATTTTATAATACATGTAAATTCCTTTTTGGGCTGGCAAAAAACCCCTGGGCAACTCCAATATGAAAAGTTCAGGGATACGTGTCTGAAAATTTGAATTAAACCCCCAAAGGAGACCAATCTGGGTGTGAGTTCAACTTTATTCAACCTGTAAAAGATACCACTCAAAACGGAAGATACGGTGGCCCATTAGGGACAACTTTACAAACCAGAAAAACACGAAATAACAAATAATATCACTGCAAACTAAATCAAAGATACTACGAATGAAGTCAAACCAGCACTGCCAATGAAAGATCGAATGCAATCCTATAATTAACGCATGCACACCGCCAAAAAATTAAACGCACACTGCAAATGAAAGCAAAATCAATCCCCAAATAAAATAAAAAAAATTCTCACAGCAAAAAAACTGAACGCACGCTGCAAATGAAAGCAAAATCAACACTGCAAAGAAAAGTTAACCGCACGCCACAAATGAAAGGGAAATAAACTATGCGCACGCATTTTAACGAGAGGGCATGAGACCTAGTAGTAAGCTCTAAGATTCGCGCCCTTTTTCGAAGACAGAGTTTAATAAATATGGCGTCCAGTGAAAACTCGAGCTGCTCCAGCGAAGACGAATCGGCTGAAACAACTCAACACGGCGATTTACCTGGTGGATCAGAAAGAGATGTTATTACGTATTACTTTTACAGAGGTCTTACGTATAGGCATATCTGATGTTGGAGAAGCAACATATTACAATGAATCAGCGAACTTTTAAGCGAAGGCTGAAAGACTACGTACTTAAGAGACGTGAAAAAGTAGACGAGGAGCTCAAGGAACGCATCAGGGATCTCATTTTACAAGATATATGTACTGGTCCTGATAGCCTTAATGGTTACAGGACTATGTGGCATGTCTTGCGTCTCAGACACCGGATTAATGTTCCCCGGCGATTAGTAGAGTCATTATTAAGGGAGGTCGATCCTAGGGGAGTGGAACACAGAAGGAACCGTTGCCTTCAGCGCAGGATGTATGTGTCACCTGGATCCAACTTCTGGCACATGGACGGGTACGATAAACTAAAGCCATTCACGGCCGTGTCGATGGCTTGAGCCGAAGAATTATTTGGCTCGAGGTCCAACGATCGAACAAAAATCCAAAGTGTGTAGCAAGCTATTTCATCAAGCATGTCAAAGCAGCACACGGATGCCCAATGCGCGTATATACTGACCCCGGCACTGAAAACGGTCTGGTTGCTGGAATACAGTGCTATTTGAGGGCTGAAGGATTGGATGAACATGCAGGATCGAAGTCTCACCAGTATGTATCGAGCACTAGGAATCAACGTATTGAATGTCAGTGGTCACATTACTGGAAACGTTCAAGTTGGTGGATCGACCTCTTTCAAGACCTTCACGAATCGGATATTCTCGATCTGACCAGTGACTTGCATAAAGAGGCTATTTGGTTTTGTCTTGCTGATCTGCTCCAGACTGATCTGGATAAGGTAAAGGAATAATGGAACAGTCACCGGATCAGGAAGTCAAAGCATGCCACTGTTTCCGGTGTTCCCGACATGATGTACTTCCTGCCTGAGGATTTTGGTCACAGCGACTGCTTGGTTCCAGTATCCCCACACAAGATCACAGAAATGGAAAATAGGTTTGAAGGACTCGATAATGAAGATGATGAAACCAACTCAGTTTTCTGCGAGTATTTTCAATACGTCATGGAAAAAAATAGCTTATCCCACCCCACAAGCATTCTGGAAGCAGGAATTCTTTTTGAGAAACTAATCAAGTTCGCAAAAGGTGAACCCTAAATTTCTCATGTTCTGTGACCGGGGAAAACACCTTGCTAAGGACTCCTGTGGAGAGAGGAAAGAGGCAAGAACATAATAGTTCATGCACTGCTACCAACCAAATAACATATTGTAGGGTACCAGAAAATACCCCTACTCACCCCAAGGCCTTGGAAAGTCCATGGGGGAGGGGACTTTCCAAATCCAAAATCTTCAAAGAAAAAAGTTTGAACCAAAACTGGAATATCCGGAAGGCTGGGGTCAAACCAACAACAAACCTCTGCTGGAGGAGTATGGATATTATCTGGAACAACACAATCATTTCTCACCATAAAATGGTGAGGGGCATCCTCTTCAATGGGATATGGGTATCATTTCACCTTCCTAGTGCAATGCAAATAAATTTGCATGTTCATTTACTATGTTTCATTTCTGCATCTATGTCTGAGATACACTGAGAATTTTGAACAACCCATCTTCAATGACAAATGCATGTAATC